ATGAAAGTTACCTTTGTCACTGTGATTCCGTATTCAACGTCCTGGCTGTATGAGGATGTAGGGCCATAGGACTTTGGAGTGTTAAGCTCATATGTCGGAGAGACTAAATCATCATTCTAAGAAGAAATCAGTCTGGTAGATTTGAGAGAAAAGTGCCGACATACTGGACTATCAAAGGTGCCAATCTTGAAGGACAGTGTTAGTCATGGAGTCTCGAGCGGGATACATAATTCCACATACTTGCCGTCGTGCATTTCCAGAAGACATCCTGGCTGCATGTGATGAACCTGTGGCCTTGTCATTTAATGAAGCTCTGGCGTTGAGAGTTGATAGGAGGCAGTTCGTATAGAGCTTCGAAAGAGCAAGATCCCAGAGAAAGTTCCTGAATTTCGTCATGTCAGGACGATAGTATGAAGTGTGAAAAATAACTTACACAGCGGTGTGCTGCGAAAGGAATTTTGAGTCAGGATGTGAATATGGCAATCAGGAGCAACATGCGCACAGGAAGTGCTGGAGACATTGACAATGAGAATAAAAACAGCGAAGACGTGATAGTAGGCGCACTCATGAAGAATAGTACATCACCAAGGGCAAAGAAGGCGCTATGCGGCACATTCAGTACATGATACGTGTGTATACTGCATAACCTCACGTTAACATGCCAGTTTGAACAGTCACTGGAGGACGCTGTCAGCCTGGAGCCTCAATCTATAGAAGAGAGATACATGCTCCTGATTATTTTGGAAATCGCATCGTCGGTCGCAACATACCCGGTCCTTCGCTTAGACTATAGGAAAGGATGATCAGTTGTCGACTACGATATATGAGCAAGTACATACAAGGCTGTAGACCAGAGAGGCGGTGATCAAGATATCAGCAACGCAGGCGGATAAGAACCACAGAAGGGCAGGATCATGGAGTTGAGGTTTCTTCTCGAAGAGCTTTAGGATGGCAACCATAGTTCCGGTCCAGCATCCACCGGCTGTCTCAGAGGTGAGCGGAGGTGCGGCGTAAGATACCATATATCCCGCCTACCAAAGGAAACGATGGCGAGCAACGAAACGAGAAGGGGAATCCAGATCGACTTTGTGAGTTTCATGATCCGCCAGGCAAAAAATAGCTGGATAGGAGTGGATATAGCTACCTACAATATTTCCGGCGTTAAGTAGGAATGTGAATGAGTTGTGGAGCTTACAATGACGATGGGTTCTGTACATGATCCACAGAAAAATTAACGAAACAATGGTTGAGACATTGAGTGGTTGAGACATTGAGCAGCATACCGCTCGCAAATACTGAGATAAGAAATGAGAGGCAGGTAAGCACTCTGAGCATAAGAAATACGGACGTGTCGGAAAGCGAGTAGTTGCTTCCGGAGACCCTGATTGAACGAGAATGATTACTCGCCAGAAGCACAACAAGGAGCCACGCACCATAGCGAAGAATTAGGGGTTCGTACATAGTGAACATATCAAAGGCAGTATTCGCTGTCTCTACTGCGAATAAGTAATACACCTAGCACGACATCAGAATCTTCGGCATCGATGATTGATGTAATTGATCAAGACTTACTAGCCACCGAATCCAAATGACATCCCTGTAGGATCGAAAGCTTTCAGAAGATGTACGAAAGATCAACAATGGGGTTTACTTCTTGTACAACTGATAGTAGGTGTAGGTCTTGCCCCGAAAGCTTGAAAATATATGCCAAAATGAAGTACTACAATATTTCTTACCTGTACTATCAGGACCTGGATAGGCGTCAACTTCGATGGACATTGTATTAGTGTAATGCAATGGACTTGCCCCATAGAGGATCATGTTAAGAAAGACTCCAATTAACATGGGCCCGAACCTGACGCCAATCGGTTAGACATGATCACTCCTCTGGATATTCACAACTCACGATAGCTGAATATTCGGCATGGTAGAGGGAAGATGGAAGAAAATGCCAAACCTCGCGGATATGACGAGCTACAGCCTATTTGAATGCGAAGGAAGGAATTTCGGCGCCGCGCGAAACATTTCATGCATAAATCCAAATGGGCATGTAATTAGATACGATTTCCAAATGTTAGGTACAAAGATCTCTCGTCGTCACAGGCGTTGGGTACGTATACGTTTGATGGTTGGATCATGTGGGCATGTCATTCACTACTATCGGTAACATCATTGTATCATCGCATAGCACCAATTCATTATGTCAGTTTGGAGTGATACGTGCATAGTATGAGAAACTTATAAAAGTAAGGGTTCAAGATATATGACAGGAGATAGATAATGTAATGCTAACCAACTGTCTCCAGCGGCATGAGACCGGGGATTTCCTAATACTTGGTCATTCAGAAGACGACCTATAGGCTATAATCACCCTCCAGTGATCATCCACCCCGTAACTTGCCGAGCGCGTGAAATTTTAACAATGAGGTGAATGAAGATCAGGACTCGGGAACAATGCGCGGATTCGTCTGGCAGATGTCCGGCCGCTGTCAATCGCAGGCTGCTGCCAAATAGTAGGCACCAAATTTACGCCTAAGTACGTCGTGCGCGTGATCTTGGCGTGATGATGATCAGAAACGCAATCAGAAAGTCGGCCGGTCCCAGGTGCCGTTGAGCTGCCGGTGATTTCCAGATTTTCCCGCTACTTATTTTGCTTCTGCAGAAATGAAAAAAAAAAAAAAAAAAACAGGCACAAATCGATTGACATTGAAAAACTTGGACAGTCCCGAACTAAATCGTAGCGACTTATGTCCTCACTCCTGGGATCCATCTGCCAGCGCTGTCTGACTTTGTTGTTCTAGCTCATGCTTCTCTAGCTCCTTCCAAGCAATTGTGCGTATGAAAACTCTTGTCCAATTCATCGTCTAGTCAAAAGTGACTCAAGCTTGAAGCCTATACCGTGCAACTGCAGGGTGTATGCACTAAGTATGAAAGAAGCTAGATGTCTTCAACTATTACGCCCGGCAGCGAACTCTTCAGTGGTTTTACTTGAGCACGTCAATCAGCAGAACGTTCAGGCGGTTACCATGGTTAAATGCAGCGACGCGACAGCCACACATGTTAAAGGTTGGTCCGATGTCAGATTTCTGTATCGCATGGTACATCTTCAAGATTCTCGGCAGCCGCATATATCTGTGAAAGATTGTCTCTCAGCCATGAGACATGCTGAAACCTGCTGATGGAAAATATCATTGAAATGATAAGAAACGACCGTCGAAAAATTAAGAGGACCATCTCCGCATACGGCATGGATGAAAAGAACTCGGGGCCGAGGGGACCTCGGTAGTAGATCGACGTCTGCCCCTGACTTTGCTGCTTTGACTCGCGGCACATACGAATTGAAGAATGCTAATTATAAGCTGGAAATTTTCAGGGCCGACAGAGATTGACAGGACCGGAAAGAGAGGCGATGGGACTGCGAACCGTGATGTCAATGCCATTGAATTGCGAAGCCCATGTGTAATTAGACCGCTGTATAGCTCAAGAGGCTCATTAGGAAATACATGCCTGAATAAAGAACAGGTGAAATTGGTATGTCGAGGTGTATTTGTGGAAAGGAAGAATGCAATGAACAAGCATTTGACAGGGTGATACAATCAAGAAGAGTGACGGGAGAAGATGATATAATGATTAGTTCAAAACAGCGAAACGTCACACAGGTACGGTTTGTAATAAATAGGAGGGAAGAATCGGTGCCGACGGGTGCGATAATCGTTTTTGCACAATCCCGGCGGCATTACCTGTCCCAGGAGACGTCCTACGAGACGAGGATAGAAGCTATCAGTAGTATCTGGCGTGATTTCTATAACTTTGCGACTGGAGTGTGCAGTAGAATGATACTGGATGAGAACGGTTTGTATGTCAGTGACGAAAGATCCTGTCTGGAATATATATGAGAAACACACTCACTGGTTATTCCATGTCCAAACCAGTTTTCAGCCACATCCCATTTCCTGTCTGTAATATATATGAGAGAGCAAATGTGGACAGCAGAAACACACTCACTGGTTATTCCATAACGCCAAGGATAATATACCAAAAAGAGATAGAGCAGTCTCGAGACAGGCGGACATGGTCATAACCAATCATTATGATTAATCCAATGGCGATATGGAAACATCGCTCTTGCTAGAGCGGCAGCGGGTATGGAAACCATCGGTCGCGTTTCCAGGGTTTGAGGACAGTCTGTCAGTGTCAACGAGCTTCGAGAGAACCTTGCTCCTCCGTATGATATAACCTGCTCTTTCAGGTAAGTCTATCGGGACAGAAGCGTTGCTCCTGCAGTTAAACAAAATTAAGGAAGAATAGGGAAGCATGAAAGAGATGATATCGTGTTCCACAATCGAAGCCTGTAATGTAGTCCCCTAGAAATATCTGCGTGGGGGTTTATAGTTAGTAACAGGTGAACGGGTTTCGAAGGAGTGGAAATGTACTGCCAAGTGGTACTGCTGAGAAGGACGGAAATCAAGTTGGAGAAGACATTACAAGACTCTTGGATACAATAGATGCATATTTGAAGATATCTGAAGCCCCCTCTGCAGGCGTTATGTGTCTGTTAACCGAACCGAAAGCGGTGAAGAGTGGTCAATTAGATGGTAATTATATACGGCTATTTTTCCTCCAGAACATTCATTGGTATACATACTCCATAATTCCCTTGCAATTGACTTACCTGCACGCACCAAGGACGCGAGGCGCAGGTTCGGATGTTTCCGACGTCGACGAGCTCAAAACGCTCGTGGAGACTTTGGGGGGACAACGCATAGGAATGTGTTTGGTTAGGCTGAATTTGGGTGTTCAGGAGCCAGAAGACCTTGAAAGTTGGTGAGAAACGTGAGCAAGTGTCGGAAGTGGCGATCACAGGCTCTGTTGTGTAGGACTCGGTTCGGAGCTGACGTGTCTATATCGATGCTTATTCATACTAGATACCCGCGTTGGGCTTCCGCTAAGTTAAATAAGTTTACTGAGGCCAGAAAAACACATTCTTTACAGGCCGAAATTACACTGAAGGGGAATCGAACCCCTGCCGCTTGCTTACATTGGCTAAGGTTACCCTACATACAATGGAAGGCAAGCATGATAACCACTTCACCATCAGTGTTATGTTCGTAACAGTATATAACTTCCATCCATCAGGATACCATCTCTAAGAGCATTTACGGCCAGGGACGTACCAAACTCCAACAGAGCTCCATCTTTGACCATCCTCATCGTTCGGGTGTTATGTGTTCCGGATCGTTATGATTGGCAGTTTGATGATCGAGTCGGACAGGTCGGACCCTGAGGCCACCCGGTCGGACGTTTACGTCAGTACTTACGCATTTGTTCCACTTTCTCTTTAGCCCTCTCCGTCAAACGAAGAGACTTTCACCGCCTGCGCCATCATCTTTGTCCCTGATCTCGCCCTAGGCAAGTCCACACCCCCAGCTGGAAGCAGAAAAGACGCAAACACGATAAGCCTCCGCACCATCCTCACGCTCCCTGAGCTCTCCCATACCACCCAATACAGCCCGACAACGAATTCGGAGGTTCTTGTTCCTTTTGTGGTTGATCCGGAAGGTAAGTAAGAGCGCAAGCGCAAAAAATGACCATCATTGACGTCCGGTTCTTGTGACACACATGACCGACTCAAGCTTGCAGATTTGGGCTGATGTCCTCCACGGCCAAATGAAGTTTCAATAATCTACACCGTGAATAATCGTCACGACAGGCCCAAGAGATTGCGAGGATTACAGGACGATAATCACGAGCTTAGACAGAAAATTCGTAAGTTGAAAGAGGAACGGGAGGTGTCGAACATGAAAGAAGGTGCGCGTTTCCTGTGATCAGACCCGTCGTCTATCTATCTTATTACTTCGTGCTCAAGAAGAGCCCTGAATATCCTGAATCCTCCAGTACGCATTCGTATTAACGCTGATGCTCTTGACGATGGTTTCTAACGTGCTTCTCGCCCATAACAGTCAGTACACCAGGCATTATAGAACTTTGTGGTAAGGGTTGTACTCGGCACGAGATACTGAGAGAGGCATGCACTGGCAGTCATCATCATGACTCTACACCTACCTCTAGGTAGCACGCACAATTTGTACCCTTACTATGACCCAATCTTCATCAGGTTCCGACGCATACATTCCTGCTCTATCTTCGAGAGTCCTACATCCCTACTCTATCTTTGAGTCTTCAGACGATGAATCGCCCTACTTATCCCACGCCCATATCGCATAAGTTCCTCCCTCCCTTCCAAGTTATAATTATAACTTCTTGCAGATTCGAGATGCAATCTCTAACCTCCGCCTAACCATGCACCTCTTCCCCGCCATCGAAGTTCTAGCGTGGCAGGAAACACTAGCCACGGTCCAGAAAAAGTTCCGAGTCGCCTGTTCTCCAGCATGACGACTAAAATGATGAGTCCAGTTCATCTATCCGCTAAAAGACCGGAGCTCACTTCAGATATATTGGATATTCAGCTCAGTGTTCGTGGGCGTTGAGACTTTCAAGCTATTCCAGCAGATGCCAATCAATGCCCCGCATACTCGAAGGAAGAAATCGACGAGAGATCTCTCGGTGGGGCCGGCAGTCGTCGATAACGATCGTTCGAAAGATGGAGAGCGACTCGAGGGTTTCTGTGTTTCAGTCTTCCCAATTTTCCCGCAGGAATATATTCATAATTCTTTTTCGGAGAACCGTGTTTACATGTGTCTGTTGTACTTATTTATGGTTGGCGTTCTTAACGGTCTTCAGAACCGACATGAAAGCCTTGTATGACCAAGAATCTAGGGCTGTCGAAAGAGGGATAAGGAAGAAGCAGGAGCCGGAGTTCTTGACTTCTCGATTCAGTTTGATTGTCGAATTACCAACGTCTCAAGGCAAGGCCAACTATCCACATAAGCGCGAGCCACTTTAGGTAAAAAAAGCCGACCTATCCATATTCCACGGATCTTCGATTCTATTTCATCTCAGACGATTAGAGGTGAGCTATGTATGTATGGGAGCAGTTTGAGTGGAGGGAGGAGGGTCTTCGTCGATTCCCATAACTTAGATGAATCGAGCGCTGGTTCAAGGAAGACTTGGAAAGGGTCAAAGCTGATTTTCTTCCATCGTCACTGATCAGTGGATATCAGTAAGTAATGGAGCGATGGTTGCTTTCCCAAGTCCTCTCCTGATCATTCATTGCGCTGCTCAAAAGGCATAAATTCTAATTCCTAGGAGTACAATTAAGTTCGTTATATTAGCCTTACGCGCAGCTAGCTTGAACCTTGAACCCACGAGAATGTTTTCCTCAAGGTTTGTTCACATTATGAGCCAATCTTACTGATGTATGGAAGATTCAGAATTGAAAACCTTCAGGGGAACTCATTGTTCAGTTGAGCCTTTTCACTCGAAATCAAAGTTTGTTCGGCGTTCGATAAGCTTTCGAGTTTGACCATGATCCTTCCAGAAATACCTCTTGTGTACGACTACTTTACACTGTTAGCAATCGTGATCATCAAGAAACTTTGATCATATAATTATCCACCTCTAGGAAGTTTCTGCAAAGCTGATATTCGAATACAATGGATGGGTAGTTCGAAGTAAATAAATGATAATTATCTAGTTGAAGATGAGCTAAGGTGACAGAGAATCTCAGCCACCTATGAGTTAAAAAATCTTGATTTCTGATCTGAGACATCTCAAACTTACCTCATACACCGGCTTCCAAGTTAGCCTAAAGACTGAATAATGTAAGGAGGCGGTTACAGACTTCCCTATGCCGGTATAGGTCCGTGAGTTATGATTGTAGACGGAGTCGTATGACTTCACGACCAGTCTGGACACTACGAATCCTTTGACATCGTATTTTCAGGACTGAAAATCTTTTGTACACGCCAAGAAAGGTAATGTTTCTTCCAAGGTGTTGTCTACCTCTGCAACTAACCTTCGACTCCACCATGTTGCTGCTGAATATGGCCAAAGTGAATCGCACGAAGATAACATCAAACGGGGTCTCATGTATATCAATACTTGGACGTGAATGGATGCACATGGCCGGAACCTTCCATACGTACCGTCAATAATTTTAAGCCTACGCCCTCGGTACATACTGTTTCCCTTTGCCGTAATAGTTTATTTGCTGTGAGTCTACTCTGCTCTGCTCACCTCATATCCTTACTGTATTCAACGTGCCATCCTACTACTCGCGGTTATTGAAAATAGGAAATGAAAAATCCGGCAGGTTACAAAAGCTTGCATCCATGGAACACCTTCATTGTCTCTCATCCCAGATTTGAGCCTACTCAGTACAATGTTCAAATTCATCGCTCTCAGCGTTGTCCTTGCGATTTCTGCTTTTGCCACACCATTGACGGCTGGGTACATTCCTTCTTGTCGTTTGTTTCGACATGACTGATACGCCTCAGCTTTGAGTGTGGAGCCATTGCCCATCCAGATCAGGTCGCAGCTGCGCAGAAGCGCATTTCTGCAAGCTCCGTGAATGGTACTCAAGCTCTTAAAGCACAAGGCACCTTCAACGTCCCTGTAAGTCATGCATTTCCTCTTGGTACCAGGATTACTGATAACTGATGCTCATCACAGGTTGTCTGGAACGTATTTTACGACCAAAACAACCCACAGGATGGGAATTTTCCGTAGGCATCTCAGCCTGCATATGATTTAGATATTCTACATCATTTCTGTGCAGAGACTCCGTGATTACGCAGCAGAACAACGTCATGAACTCGTTTTTCCAGCCAATGCGTCTCACCTTCACTGTCGTCAGTGTTCGTCGCATTGCCGTCCCCTACAACGTGTTACATGGTGCCAGTGAAGGTACCGCGGTCGAGTACCAGATCAAGTCATATCACCAAGGTGATGCCAGGACCCTCAACATCTACACGGTCGGGTGCGTCTATACAAATGCAGTTGCTTTTCCTGTTTGACATCACATACAGAAAGAACCCTAACTCGAGAGTCTCCGGATGGTCTTCCTTCCCTTGGAACTATCAGAACAGTCCAATGTACGACGGTATCATCATTAATTACGATAATCTCCCTGGTGGCTCGTCAATAGGTTACAACACAGGAAAGGAAAGTCGACCGTTGTACATTTACAGTCTTCAAAGTCTTGAAAGTTTAATATCATATTTCCTTCTCCAGATCATGGTGCATGAAGTAGGACACTGGGTCGGCCTCCTCCATACTTTCGAAGGTGGCTGCAATGGAGGCGATTTTGTAGACGATACTCCCGCCGAGGCAAGCGCTGCTGATGGCTGTCCTATCGGCAGGGACACATGCGCTGCTCCTGGTGCCGATCCTGTCGGTGAGTTTGACCCACCCTCATGCTCAGTTGGAGGTTTACTGACAGACATGGACTGTCAGATAACATGATGGATTACAGCGATGATAGATGCAGAACCCGCTTTACTCAAGGCCAGTACAACCGTTTCGCCCAGATGGTCTACAATTACCGCGGGATCAACTTGTATTGAGCGCTGCTGAGGCTTTGGTTGAGATTTGGTAGATGTGGCAAAGCTCGTAATCCACTCAATATCCACGTCATCGAGTATATGGACTATAGTCAGTAGTATGGAGTTATCAGAGATATCTTTTTGGTACCAACAATTTACACAACTTGCTACGCTTCTTGACGTGCAAAAATAAGGCAGAACGGGATTCGGATTTGCTGGAATTGAATGTCCAGGTACTTTTTCGTTCTATCCTCACTTGGTGATTTCACTTGTTTGAGTATTGTCTATGAAGAGTAGGAGATCTGGACCGGAATGGCATCATGTTGTGATTTCAATAATGGACTATATTCATGTATAAATGTGGAAGGTGATTAGCAATCAGACAATAAATGAAACTACCACAAGAAATGGACGCCAAGAGCTCCCTGCTGTCCGACGCGTCGACAAAAATATAATCATCCTTCGCGTTCCCACCTTCTCTCGACGCAGTACTCCGAAGCTCCATCCTGGACGCAAGATGGTGGTCCTACACCGTCTCTCCTGTATCACTGTGTCAATCGCGTAGATCTTCACGCGAACCGAAAGGCGCCGATGACGGAAGCGGAAACCATACGAGTATTGGTGTCTGGTCATCAAAAAGGCTTTATGCCGTCGAGAG